GAACGAAACCCTGACGTTTCAGCAAGTACCGAGATAAAGAGCTCGTATATTCTTACGGATAAGAATGGGTGGTTTATATTACGGTATCCTTTTTCATGAAAGCCACAAAAGGTGTTTCTTTAGGCGCTACCATGTCCTTTCAACCGATTGACCCAGGTCGCCCGTTATCCTGCCTTTATTGTATTTTGTTTGCTTTTTATCACATTCACCTACTGTACAAAAAATGTAAAAAAAACCGCGAAACACATTACTGTGGATTCTATAAAAAGTTTTAAATAAAGCCTAATTAAAAATATATTTTATAAATAAACTATTGGAAACAATATTATCATGAAAATATTGTGACATATTTACGTGTTATAAAAATATGAAAGATATAATATTGGAACATAAAAAGTTATTTAGAAAAATATTTTTGAAAGTTATACTGTCTAGTATTATCGACTTCATTTGTAGTTATTTTATACTGAAACTATTTTTAATAGTCAATATTTGTTAAAACAGACCGACAGACAAAATTGTCATATATGAAACATATTGCAATAAAATATCTCTGAAAGGATATATGTCGTAATAAATGTGAATATCTGCAAAGTATTTAAAAAATTTATCAGCGATCAGAGAGAAAAAGAGGAAGAGACAGAGAATACGTGATAGTTCAGTGAATCAATTGGAAATACCTTTTAATTAAACGCATTTATGTTTAATTCCGTTTGATTAATCAAGTTAATTTTACAATCTAAATTACCCGAAAAATGTCAATTAAATTAAATCAAAAATACTGATTACGATTATCGTGGACACGTAATTAAAACTGTACAGAATCTCGCGATACTAATCAATTTTCTTGTAATTTAATTCTGATTTTCACTGATTTACTAGCTCATTGGTAATTTAAATTGTATCATTGCTCTAATGATTTATTTGCTAAAATGCAGCTTTATGTACCTAATTAATCTACTCTCGCAGTTTTTAATGTACGCATGAAACGAATGAATTCATAAATATTTATAGACACGCTATAGAGACATACAGAAACTCTCATTCTTCGCGACGGCGCAACGAAATTTTTTTTATTCACACTGTACGATTGCAAGTCACTTCGCAATAAAGTGTATATTGCGAGCAGGTATTCCAGACGCAATATTACATACTTAGTCTACATATATCACAAGTCTTGTGACTTACTTTGAATGTGAAGAAATCGCAAATTGCATCGCGCATGTAAAGTGATAGTAGCAGCATTATTGGAAAGACACGTGAAAGCAACGCATGACTTCGCGCATGATTTCGAATAAGCATCAATTATATTTAAATAAAAACAGGAACATGTAATGCTTAATAAAATATGTCAATCAGCGTTCCTGCGCATCTCATATTCTGCGGAAAGGGTTTAATTGCGGATTGCAATTAGTCGTCGAACGACATCGCGCGCAATCGCGTTCTCTCGTTAAAAGCGTGCTTTAATTTATCGATGACATTGCTCGGCGTGAAAAACGCCGAGCGCTAACGGAATCGGTATTTTACCGCTTTACTACGGACTCGCGCGCACGTATTTCTCTCGAAATAGTGGTACGGAATTAACCACACCAGGAAGTCATATTTCAGTACCTGATGCATCCGATGCAGTTTCTGCGGCAATCAAATTTTTCCGCGCACGTCCTATGAACTCCCTACGATTGGCGTGTTTTGACGGAAATTTAACCAATCTGTCGAAGGTACACAAACAATCTTCTACGTGTTCTGTAAATGCTTTCCACGTTTGCGAGTATTGATTTGAACTGAGTTTTCAGACTCTAAATTCTTATAGCATATCTTCTCTTCATCTTTCGTATATATTAATACATAAATGATAAATTATTTTTTCTTTATTTTTTTTCTTGTGATAAATTATTTTGTTAAATTCAAATCCAGTTCTCTATATAAAATATAATAATAATAAATATTTATAACAATGCAATGGATAAGTGGTAGAATTTACACAGCATTAAATAGGAATTTCTATAATAATTATTTTTATAATTAACGTAAATACATTGTGAAAAATTAAAAGTGTCAGGCATTAGTAAATGAGAAATATCATCGATAATAATCATTGAAATAGCCAATGATATATAAGGATACTTTGTAAGAGTAAAGTAAATTAAAGTGCACGAGCGTAAATGATACATTAGTTATACTGATTCCGAGATTTTACAGACAGGAAAGAAAAATGTGGGCTACGGAGAAGATCGATTCGCGAAGAGCTATGTTATCGCATGCATCTCCTGCATCCCTCTAAAAATACCGAACGAGTAAAGTTCAACATCTAACCAAGAGTTTCGAACTTTAGTTTCAAACTAAAATTAATATTACAACCACGCTGTTGCTTCTGATATTATGCAATCCGAATTATAACATGGTAAATCTCAGATTCGCGTGTATCTTGAATTACAAAAATATATAGTTGCGAAATATCGCAATTTTAGAATGATAAATTGAAGAAACTGCAAAACAAGATAAATGCAAGAAAATATAATTATACAACGTAATTTTCCACTAAAATCTTCTTTTGTCTTCGAATCAATCCAATTAAATGGTGAATGTTTGGACTATCGCGGATTCCTACATAAACATTGTCTAATCACGTGGTAGTTTCCTTGAATTACTTGCTCTCGAGATCAACAATTTCCAATTGATGGCCGAACATTTACTCATCTTTGCCGAATTCCATGTGTGATAATCAAACACGTTCAACAAACTTTACATATTGCATTTGCCGCGTCAGATGCTGACGCCTACATTTCGATCTTTGCATATTTGACACGGCTGTTTGGATATACAAAAGATGTGTACTTCGCACTATTTTCAGAAAATTCTGAGAAATGAAAAATTGAATGTTTGCTCAGTGAAATAGATTCCCTTCGAAGAAATAAGAGAACCACGTCCCATTAATTCGTATTTCTAGTTCTGGTGTCATTTACCAAAATTTTAGTAAATTTTTTAGAATACCAATTTTGTTTATATTATATTATATTAAAATCAACTTTGATTCTAATATATTATTATTAACTAATTAACGTATCTCTTCATGATTTATTGAACTGTTCGAAAAACTAAAAAAATAGAGTTTAAGTGTCTATACTGGTTTCTAAGTCTCGATCTCTTTTCAAGTCTAGGCTCAGAATGATAAAAAAGATCCCTGTTTGTAAAAACAAGACTTAAAAAGTTGAAGATATTGAAAAATGAAAAGTATTTAATAAACTGTCAGAGGCATGGACGACAGTCTCGCGTACTTCAGTTTGCGAGGTATAAATGATGGAATGCAAAATGATGGAACTGTGCGTATCACGATGACAGGTCGACTGACGTTTGTTCCATATTCAAACGCTAACATCTGAGAAATTGCATTGCGCTCGGATCGTCGATCATTGCGATCGACAATCTGACTTGATGTCCCGTCCACCTACAGAAAGATAGAATGCTTTGCGCAAAGTACTTTGCCAAAGGAACCACCGAATTCAATGTGTAACCTGTAGAGTGTTCTCTGCTTTTCCTGGCAAAGAACGAAATTTGCCGTGTCGGATTAGACTAGCTTGCTTTATCCGTTGATTGTCCTTTGAATCTTTGATTATACTATCAATATTACATTCTACTTTCAAGAATATAATACTGCATGAAGAGTTCAGAATAGAACTCCGTTCATGTAACATTCTAAAATTCTAAAATCGTATATTTGAGATAAAATTTATAACTAACAAAGTTATTATAATTTAAATTAAAATCCTCTTTGCGCTATCATAAACACGTGTTACCGTGTTAGATTAAATTTAATTACAATAGCTAGAAGCTTCGAATAATACAATAATATGTCATCTGTTTAAAATGAACGCATAATCCATCGCGTTTTTGCGCCGTGCGTGCACTTACGAAATTGTTAGAAATATTCATTCGAAAGTAATGGATCCCTTGATGATAATGAGATAATATGACAGGAATAAAACAGAGTTATTCTGAAAGCATCCGAGCGATGGTCTAAATACCTAAATTTACAATAATTCGACCGAGTTTTACCCGTGTTCGCAATTTTCGTTATTCTGTGCGTAATGAAACGCATTAGCAACGTAGATTGCAAGCTGCGCATAAAGTGCACCCCTCCCTTTCCTCTCTCTTTCCGAGTATAGAGGGCAAAATCGATGGCTGTTAATATTCAACGCATCGTCGGCTCGCTTCGATCAAACTTCTCGTAAGCGAAGGGGTTAAACACAGCTGCGCCACATTTGCTGATTAATCAATGTCATTTTTTTATTTCAACGTAGAAATACTTAATTTTTCGTACAAACATAGAGAGCCTAACGTTCTCCAAAAGAAAATTTACTTTAACGGTTGGATAACGTAAAGTAAATTTTCTTTTGGTATCATAGAATCGGATGTACTTTCGATCGAGCTCAGTTTACATTCTCTGTGAGATAATAAAATAAAAAAATTATCGCGGTAAAGTAAAGATTATAATTGAGTCGGTTCTTCGTCACTATAATTATTAATCGGTTATTATTATCATTTTTTCCTAAAAAATAATTTTTTTAGAAAAAATTTTTAAATTTTTCATGGTTATAAAAAAATTAATGTTCACACTTAAACACATTATGTTTAATTAATTAAATATATTATTATATGTAAAATAAGAGTACTCTTGAAAATAAAGAAATATTTTAAATTTTGTGTACTTAATTATAGTAAATTATGTAATTATTAATAAAATATTCCAAAAATTTAATGTTCCTTTTAATCTACGGATTCTGTTTGTCTAATTGTTTTAGTTTAAGGTATTTTTTTAGGCAAATTTATATTTTTCTTATATAATAACGTTAATAAATCTCGTTAAAAAACGATATTCAGATACGGATAACATAAAATATCTGTTATATAGCGACAATAAAATAAACAATTTCTCTAGTAACCTCCTATCATCGATTTTGTATTACATTTCACGAGATAAAAATTTCGTTTTTATTTTTCAGAAGCTCCAGCCGTCAATGCCGGGAATGCGTCATCGTGTTGCTTCCATCATCGCGATCGAAAAGCTGTCGACAGGATAAATCAAAACGTACAGAGAGGATGCTGCAAGAACAACGCGTTTATGAATCCTATACAATATATCTAACGCGTGCTTGAAAATTGTAACGTAATTAAAAAGTAATATATTACAAGAGCATGCATGTATCAAGCTACGGGCGATAGGCTCGAAAGTAAAAAAGCGTAAAGAATGTGAATTATAATTATAAATATAAGTCTTGATCAAAATGATCTGTCCACGATGTATTTACTTTTAATCATAATAAAATAAATGGTACATCTGTAATATATTGTTCTCGTCATTTAAAAGTGAAATTGTCGCCCGCTTTGCTCCAATTTCTAGTTCTTTAAATTATAACATAATTTTTGTAAAATTTACTCATTTATATAGATTTAGAAAAAAGTTTACACTTGCTTACTTTATTGCAATTTTATACATATATGTGTTTTTTATATTATTTTCTCATAATATAATGAGACATACGTTTTATATTATTAATACTTATATATAGCTTTGAAGAAAAATAAGATTCGTCGTAATATCGATATGTCTTTGGACTTTTTATAGAACAAATATTAAATACAAGACAACATTATTTCGCTGTTTCCATCTCAACAGTATAAGGATTACTATCTTTCGATCTACTGTCTATATCTTTATATTTTATTGAAGTGGAAGTGACAACCCAATGCGACGCACTATCTCGAATGTCAGTAAAATCAATCGATCCAACTATATCATAACTTTTTCATCGTCTCTAGCCTGACCAACTTCACAATTTATTTCTAAAGTTTCTATCATTCTTATTTACAATCACATCAGTATTATGGACTCCACTCGATCGATGATAATAAATAATAATGATATCGATTTAGATCGAGATAGATAAATATACAATTGAAAATTGCATTTGAAGACAGTACAGACAGCTCGGTACAAAATAAATAAATAACGTAAAATCAAAGAAAACAAAGAACTTAAACAATTTTGAAGTATATTGAGAGATATTTCTTCGATACACGCGTTCTCGAGAAAAATTCGCAGAATATTAAATTCTCACGGGTCACAAGTCAGTCGGGATGCCGAGCTGTATCTAGTTGTATCAGAGTCTTTGTCACTAGAGCTACAATTGATTTGGTTCCCATCAGAAGTTAAACGGTCCTGTTCACAACGAGGTCAGCATACTTTGAGAAAGCTGAAACTAAGACGGAAGCGCGTCCTTTCGTGCGCGTAATACGTTCTCGATATAGAACAATGGTTACCGTGGTCAAACTTTTCACCAAGATTGGACCGTGTAACTTAGAAACCTCTTTTTATAACGCAGTGCATACAATTTATATATATTATTCACAATATTTATAAATTGGTAACAATATACGTATAATATTTTCTGTTATATGATTTTGATCTGCACTCTGCTGTTGTTAATAATAACATTTCTAAACCATATGAAAATATAAAAGATTCATAACAGATTACGTTAAATCCACTCAGGGATTTATATTTGATATAACTGTACTATTTTCGAAAAAATCAATCTATTCTTTTTCATTTCGAATTACTACAGTGTCGCGATTTTGAGAGATTTTAATATTTGTTAAGACGAAATAATTTGTTATCCAAAAAAGAGATAAGCTTTCAGATTATATCAATATAATTGTAGCAGTATTATTTTATATGGGTATTGTTTTCTGTTTTTAGGATTAATGTGTGTGTGCGTAAAAGAAAAAATCAGATTATAGAGAATCAATAATTTTTAAAGTGCTACAGTTCAAAATAAAGAACACAATATTTATTTACAGTAATAAGAAATAACAATAAAAATAAGCAATAATAAAATCAGCGAAACTGAAGCACTGTAATAGACTAATCTTTCAGAGTCAATCTTTCATGAATTTTTGCACAAAAAAACTTTCTCTTTCCCTTCCTAGTTGTCTTTTATTTGATACATAAAAGAAATATAGAATTCTTCTATATATTCGGGAAATTAATAATCCCGCATGCTGTGCACGTTTCGTGTGTCCTTCGATCAAAGAAAAAACAAATTAAATATCCCTAAAGCGTATTCTTTATCAAGTCCGTTATTAAAGCAAACCGAAAAAGATCGATCTTTCTGATCACGTGCCAATATTTCTTTCTACCTTAGCCGCTTTAATGGCACATATTGTGCACTACCTATTCCTGCATCGAATGATTAATGAAGAAACGAAAGCTGGCCTTTGAAACGTCACGAGAAAAACTAATAAAATATATTTGTCACGTATATATACCTTAAAGTCTTATTCTATGCTTAATTTCAAGCAGATTTTATTCATTCACAAATTCACAAATTCAGAATTAATATTACAAAAATCCTATTTCAAAAATTGAAGACGCGACGGCTAATGACCTATATACGCCAAGAAGGCTATTACTAAATTTAAGATCAAAATTATTAAATTTTACCGACGGGGAACTTCGATCTACTTAATATCCTTTTACGAAGTATTAGGCCATTAGGGTATCCTGCTCCTCTAGATATCGATGGGGATTACAGCCTTCTCTTTTTAAGTATATAAAGAAACCGGGGAGAGGGACTCCTCCGCTGTGACGAGGGTTATATTTTAACAGACACGTAACAGAAATGAAAGCAAATCAGCCGCCTAATGTCCGTCCATCTGCCTTATCTGTCGCATTTGTCTCCAAGTACGCAGTCGGGATGTGCGCGCGCGGGAGTGGCATTTAAGCGCCGCCGTGAGCGAAATGAGATGGAAATTACGAGGCGCAATGACGAGTGACGAAAGTACGAGGTCGTCTCTCATTCGGAGAAAATGCAAACGAGGAGGACTCGGCGACGGGGGTCTGCGCTATCGTGAAAAACAGGTCGTACTCTCCGTCCACCGGCGCGACGGAAAAACCACAACAGCCGGAACGATTATTAATGAGCGTGTTAAGCCAGCGGCGACCGATATTGCATGTACTGCGACAGGTAATAGTCGGCGGTCCCCGTACTCCTCTGTTGCGCCGCAGAGAGACGACGACGGAAATTGACCGCTTCTTAATTATCGCCGCTCGCTTTTTCAGCGCCGTGAACGATGTGAATAAATTGCGCGCTCGGTAACGGCGCGTGCTTCATTTCGCGATGTTATACAACATTGCGATACTACGTGGCGTAACGCCCGCCGCCGCGGCGATTCCAAGTTTATAAAAGAATCTGTACTTGACATATTGACGAAGAGCTTTCGCTACGGAGCGACTTTGACCCACTTAACGTCTCCTTGCAAGCTCTCCGAAAGCAATTTGCAAGAACAATTCATATCTGTCTATTCATAAATAATTCGGTTGGAATGAAATTAAGATGAAAATAATTATAAATTGTAATTTCCAAAACCATGAATATTTCACGACAACGATAACAATCGGAATATAATGCATGAAACGTTTTTCATGGATTTTGAAATATCGTATATCAAATTGGCAATTGTACAATGATTTGATAATTCTTTATTAGATTATATGTGATATATTATAATAATATACATTATATATTATTATATATTTTATATATGTATATTGTATGTATATCGTAATTATATCAAAGAATAAGTCAGCGAAGAAATCGTTTTAAAGAAATTTTTTTATCTAAAATGCAAAAAAAAATTAAACATGTTTTCTTTTAATTATTGTTAAATGAATATTGCGTTCATAACATTTATAATTGTGTTTTAATTATGAAGTTATTTAAGATTGCAAATAAAAAACTCAGAATGAAAGATATCATCCCATTAATAAATTTGAAAAAAAGAAAAAGCGAGCTAACCAAAGAATCATGTTACATCATTATATACTCAAATAGCTTTTGTTTACACTGCCATTATCGACATATAATTACGAGGTTCTCTGTTTAATTATAATAACATTCAAGAAACAGAGACGGTATTAATTTTCTAAACAGACAGATGGAACAACCGCATGACATGTCGGACTATATATTCCGCAAGTGAAATATTACACTCAGAAAGTAAACTTTGTGCGGAGATAATAGTTTGAATCGTATAGCTCTATATTTACTGTAACAGAGAATGGATTCCAATTTCATTAGAGAATCGCGTTACATTAATTATTCGTACGACATTTCTCCGCCTCGCCGCCATTATTGTTACATTACTAATGCCGCATCGCATCCAGACGATGGCAATTGGATTTGTTTTCGGATAACGTAGCGTGGTTCACAGCCACAAATTATTAATATTTCCTAATGCACAATCTCAAAATTGAATATGATGTCAATGGCATATTTATTAGATTCTTGTAGCAAATCTGTGTAATAAATATACAACAGATCGATATATATAAATTATATATATATATATATATATAAAATATATATAATTATAGTAATTTATATCACATTTTGTAATAGTAAATTTTTTATCAAATTCAATATCGTTTTAATGGAAATATTTTTTTTTATTTGGACAAAAAATATTAATTAAAAAAAAATTATAACTTTAAGCAACTTATGCGTAAAATTAATTAGTTTATTATGATATAATAAACTGTGTAATTAACTATTATATAAATATTATTTATAATTTAATATATATACTAACAATAAGTGTAATAAACCGTTAAAATTATTTTATTATTTTCTATGAGTTTATCGTAATTAGAATAATATCATATTTATCAATGATGATTGAAGATGTGCAATCAAGTGTTGGTTTTTGGGAAAAAAGAACACTTTTCGATCAACTCTCAAAGAGGGCAATACGTAGAAGTAAAATCATGAGAAAAGAATGAGGAGTCGTCGGCCAGAAAAAGCTCGATCATGCTGTTACGCAAATTCAATCGACGAGGAAAGCCCGTCCCCTACCAGCTGATAGGGCGAAAGCGGAAAACGAAGAACAACGACAGTCATTAATGGAAGTGATCGTCGTTCTAGGAGGTGATAAGTATCAACCCTCACACTTCATGCGCTTTCCAATTAACTTTCACGATGGAAGGTAAATGAGTGGAAATATTCCACACGTTGCTTGCGCTTTCTTACGTAATTAATCGTTATAATGAATCGCGTTTCGAAGGAGAACCGTCGATAAATCTCTCGGTTCAGCAAACTGTTCCTGCAAAATGTTAAAGTTCAAATATTGCAATATTAAATCCGTAGAAAAGCGAAACAATAAAACGTAAGTTGTTATACCAATTATTTCTATGACTCGCTTGCGCAAATAAATATATCGTGAAGAAA